TGCCTAAAGAAATCCATTTATGGATTAAAGCAAGCTTCAAGACATTGGTACTTGAAGTTTGACAGTACAATAAGAAAGTTTGGGTTTTAAAGAGAATGTAGAGGACAATTGTATTTATGCAAAGTTTAAACATGGGAAATTTATTTTCCTAATCCTGCATGTGGGTAGCACCTTACTCGCTAATAGTGGTGTTAATCTACTGTTGGAGAAGAAACAGATCTTGTCCTCAAATTTCAATGAGAATGATCTTGGTAAAGCGTCATTCGTTCCAGGAATTGAAACTTACCGAAACAAAAGGAAAAGGGGTATTAGTGTATACTTAGAGAAGATTCTAAAGAAATAAAGTATATATGAGCATATACCTATGCCTGTTCCTATAGTTAAGGGTAATAGTTTTTGAAACTTTTAGTGTTCCAAGAACGAATGTGAGATCGATCGAAAGGGCGTCCTATATGCTTCAACTGTTGGAAGCTTAATGAATGCTTATAAGTAAGAACTTACCCTGACATAGTTCATGTATCCGGGATGTTTTGGCAGAAGTCCAGTCCAGATATAGATCACTGGAATGGAGTTGAGAATATTTTGCAATTGTGCAAAGATTTATAGGCCTCATGGTGAGTAAGAAAGAATAAGTACTCTCAAATAATTGTGGGTACAAATGTTATATTTTAGTGAGATGTTTAGTGAAACCCACATAGTAGCTAACACTCACAGTTGGAGTTTTATTGTGGAAAAGCTCCAAAGAAACAGTTGTGGTGTCATCAAAGATGCATACCCACAGTATAGCTTGATATGAGGCTTAAATGACAGGCGAAATGGTTAAAAGAACTTACACCCAGAATTGATAATGGTATATAACAACAATAACCATTTAAGTAGTTCACTCCTATAACAACGGGTCAAGTGTGCTGCCAAACACATTGACGTTAAAGTTATACGTTGTGAAGGAGAAAGTCCGGAATCATACTAAAAGTATTGAACATAAAAGTAACAAGCAAGTGCTTGCGGATCCGCGTACAAAAGGCTTACCACCCAGTGTGTTTAGAGAACACACAGTCGACATGGGTTTATGGTATGGCCTATGATTTCCGGACAATAAAGGGCCCAAAGTTAAAGAATCTGTTTCAGAACAGAGAAGTGTATTGTAGCTGTTAAATCTATCGGCGATTGACCGTGACGATGAAGCATGCTCTATGCACTAATCTGTGATGGAACAAATAAAAGTGAAAGGGATTAAAGTCAAAGTTTAAAGTTAAAGTATGAGTTGAGATCAAGGGGGAGAATGTTGGTTTGATCTCCCAACCACAGTGGCCCATTGGCCACTTGGGCCTTGACCTCGCGCCCTGATCGGGGGCGCCCAGTCCATCTATGGCTGGCGGGTCCCCGTCACACTGCACATTAAATAGAGGTGGGGCCGGCGGCTCTCGGTACGAGGTTCGCCTGAGCCGTACACCCCACCTAGAAACCCTACTCCGATCTAACAGAGGGGCACAGCCAGTGACGGGAAGCACCACCGCCGCCACGCCACTGCCTCCACCACCGCCGGTCTCCACCGCTACTCCGACCGTTGCTGCCATGCGCAGATCTTCACTAACGAACCAGTGAAGGCAGGGAGCTCCTCCGATGGTCAGATGCTCCTACATCTCCCTCTCTCTCTGTCTCCTACTCCCGAATGAAGCTCTAGGTCTATTTGATTCAAATGATAAAGAAATCACCCACTGGATCCACACCTAGATGATCCAAGGTAGCATAACACTGCTGTGTTATCTAGTTACTGTTATAGCATGTGCGCTGTACTATGACTAAATGGATAGAGTTGTATAAATAGACATACACAGCAACTCAATAAAGAGAGTTCAGATTTGCCATCTTCCATATAGGGCTTCGGCCAACGCTGGTGTCTTGTACTGTGTATGTATGCTCTGTTCTCCATCTTCTTCAACCTCTAGCCATAGTGTATGAGGACGGACAACGTTTGTTCGTAGTCGGCACGACTATTGGGTGCTCGGCAACCCTATCAGATGCTCGGCACGACGGATGATGACTATCCTTCAGATGTCGAATGCTAGAGCAGCGGTCCGGAGGCCTCCAGCAGGGAAGAGCTCGCGCATGGCCGCACGCTTGGAGGAGGCCAGGGGCTCCTTGATGGCCCGATGGAACCTGTCGGCGTAGGAGGCATCAGGACTCTGTGGCGGCGAGGATCTCCCCGCCGGCCTCCACTTCCTCAGCATCACCTTCTTGGCTTGAATTTCCTGTTTTGGGTCACGGAGATGCGTCAACATTGCGATTCGCACGCTACGCCGCGGGACCACAGGGCTGACCCGGCGAGAGGTACGACAGAGCGGAGTGGAGTCGATGAGCGGCTCCTATAGAGGGAGGCAGAGGGAGTCGTTGAAGTCGGGTAGCGACGTTCCTGCTGCCTGCATGGCCAGTGCCACCGGCGCCTGGGTTACCTTTGCCGCAGGCTTAGGGTTCTCGATCTCGTGAAGCAGCCTAGGATTAGCAGTAGATGATGTGTCGCATGGGCCCATATCCTCCGTACCCGGGCCAAAGGCAGAGATTTGCCCCGCCAAATCTTCAACCACTAGATCAGAAATAGGACCACGACCCAGCTGGCATTCTGGCCTAGTCCGGCATGAACTCGCACTCGGGGTCTCAAGCATGAAGCTGGCCCAGGACGTCTCCCCCTCCATTTGGGTCCAGCAGGAAACCCGGCCCATCTCGGTCCAAGGACCTACTGCCATGCATGACCATGAGCAACGAAGGGTCATCGCAGAGTAGCTTCCCCAGGAAGCCCGGCAACCGCCGCACTCGTCACGGTGACCAACGAGGTATATGTCATCACTGCACGCCCTGTCATGCTGCCCCCCCCCGCCCCCGGCATGGAAAGCAGGAGGGCCTACCCAATCAACATTGGGTCCGTATCCATACCCATGTCAACCTCAGAGTGACTGATACGACTTGCCAGGGGTCAAAGCTGTCCTCCCCCAGCTTTTCACACGCCATGAGGGCCTTGGTTCCTGAGTTGCCGCAAAACTCGGCACGCTCGACACGACGCCCCAGAAGTGGGCAGACCATTGATCCAACGACCAATGACTTCTTCGACGCAGATGTGGGCCTGTAGCCACGCATCAATGACGGGGCATCGTCATCACCTCCGGCCAAGTAGACCGGTCCGGATCCCCGCGGTGACAGTCAAGCCCCAGATGATAGCGGTTGCAATTGCTGTTGCTTGAGTCGTTGTCGTCATCCGCACCGCCACCAAAACCATCATCATCCGGAGATAGCCCCCGCGACGGCCGCCGTGGCCATCATCAAGCCTTGGGTGATAGCAATTAAAGTTGCTATTATATGAACTGTCATCCTCATCCGCACCGCCACCATGACCTCCGCCATCTGGGGAAGCCGCCGGCGTATTCCAATCCTGGAACGCGACCAATCGGAGCCGCACCAGATAGTGTAGGCCAGGAAGCTCCGCCTGAATGGCCTTCCACGGGGTTGTGAACGCGTGGCTCCGGGATGAAGATGATCTTCTCATCAGGGATGAAACGCCGGTGCATACACCAAGCCGCAACGAAGAACTCGTGGCCATCATCCGTCGGCACATCCCTCGGCAAAATGACTTCGACGTCCACATAGGCGGGGGCAAGGATGGTCTGCACCGTGGAAGCATTCTGGGCATGGAGGGGCACACGCCTCATCCCCACCAACACTCTGTACCTGAACGACCCACCGGAGGCCATCGAGGTCCTCCGCCAAGGACGCTAGATCAAGGAGAACTGAGCCCCCACCGTCGGAGTGCCGATAACTCAGTCCCTGTCATCGCGATGCCTGAACCGCACAACGAAGTCCTCAGGGTCATGGCGACGGACCTTAGCATCTTCCCCCGCCACACTGAAACGTTGAAAGAGGAACTGGCGGACCATGGCTAGCGACACCGTGTTAGCAGCCCAACTCAATTGACTAATAGATAACTCGAATCAAGTAGCAGGGATACAAGACCTCAGGGACAGGGAGGTCTGGAATTAGCGAGGGATAGAGAAGCAGGGTACAGAGAGGAAGAGAGAGTTGGGGAGGAAGATGAACAGTAACTAGGGGAAGAAGGAATTTGTTTTAGATAATTTGTTCGATCCTTCGAAGCTCCTGCTCTCTTACTTTTGTAGGCTCCCATCCAGTAGAGTCCGCACTGGGCTCAAGGCCCAGGCCAAAGCGACGGCCTAGCATAGCTTATCTCTAACATTCCCCTCTCCTTGAGGTTCGGCTTGCCCCCAAGCCGATGAAATGGATCCACCGGGGTCCCAAATGAACTTGCACTTGGTACTCGAAATTTATGTGTTGTGACGTCAAGCAAGAAAGACCGACAATTGCCACCACACTTCCGCTGTACTCGCTGTTGAATCAGTGCACAGGCAGCCATACTCGCTGATATCAAGAGCTGCAAACCATCAGGATCCCCTGGCACTGATGCCTCCATAGTGAAAATGTGCAGTAACACCGTAACATTAGTTCCCATCATCTTTTCTGTTTCAAAACTGATCTGAAACTCCTCATGAACAAGAGAATTAATTGCAAGTAGCAGCCACATGGCGCTAGCTATTTGTGCTTGGACAGTTGTGGTAAATTGATGCAATAACACACCACTATTGTTGAAGTTGTACACTGCAACTATGACGTCAAGCTTGTGGTGATCTCCCCACATTGGCGGATCCACGGGCGGGGCGTGAGAGTGATTTTGCTTTGTATTTACTGTAGAAAAAAGTGATTTCACCATTAATCTTCGACATTTGTTCTAAATCTCTATTGATTAGCCCCCCCCCGAGGTGCCCATCTTGGCTCCGCCACTGTCTCCCCACATAGGAGAAGGAAGACGGTGGACAGAATCATACTTGATCAGTTGCATCAATACTGAATAAAACTCAAAAGTATGCATATTCACCTTGCTGCAGCCTGCCAATTTCAGAACCGCATTGAAATGAACCAGGTGTATAATAATAAGTGCATCAAGACTGAGCAACTGGTGATGCTTCTGAACTGGTAGTATTGACAGAAGGAGCACCATAGAGAGGCCTCCAGCGGCGGGAGAGTACCGACGTGCGCGTGGCATCCTTGATGGGAAGGCGGGAGACGATGTTGCCGAGGAGCACGTCGGGAAGGAGGCTGAGGCGGTCGAGGACGTGCAGGGAGACTGCGGTGACGACAGCGCTAGAGTTGGCGCGGTCGAGGTGGTTGGGGATCTCGTCCTCGACGGAAACGCGGTTCTGCACGAGCGAATCTGCCTCGGAGTCGAGCTTGGGGGCGTCGCGCTGCTCGTGGGCACCGACGCGGAGGACCACAGTGGCTTCCCATTGCTCCCGTGCGGCCTCGGAGAAGTCGGAGAACAGCGAGTCCTCGAGCAGACCGAGCATGTTGCACGACGCCAGCTCATGGCACTCCAGCGACGTGAACTCCTCGGCGACCTGCTGAAGGCCGAGGTCGATGCTCGTGCCCGAAAGCTCCTCCCCCGCAGTGTCGTCGTGGACGGGAGGCGGAGGTCTTGCCTCGATGTGGTATGGCCTGTCGACGATGGCAGGAGGATGCGAAGGACGCGCCGCCTCGACAGCCAGCTGCAACAGCGGCGCGAGGGAGGATGGCTTCGGATGTTCCGCGGAGAGTAGGGAGGAGGGCGGAGCGGGCACTGAGTTTCGAGCCGTCGGCGGCGGAGGCGCGGTCGTGTCGGAGGAATCCAGCTCGTAGACTCGCTCCTCTAGGATGTCGCTCAGCTTGAGGGCGCCGATGCGGAGCTCCTCGACGGCATCCCGCGGCTCCCTCATCGGCGGAGCGTCGTCGAGCGCAATGGAGATGCCCTTCTCGGACACGGGGCGGAGCGACTCGGAGGCGGGGGTGTTGACGGGGCAGTACCGGATGAGCTTCTAGTCAGCGCTGAGCGGCGCGTCGGGTTTGGTGGAGGTGACGAGCGCATCGACGGGGACGGCGCCAGAGTCGTCGTTGCAAGAGGAGGGAGAGCGTCCTCGTGCGGGCTGCTGCAGCCTGGCGAGGAGCCGGTCCAAGCGAGCATCGGACTCGTCGAACCTCCTGTGGATCTCTTGGAGGAGGAACTTGGTAGAAGGAGAGAGCTCGGTAGGGGGATTCATGGTGCTAGGGTTCCGAGAATCGACGGCTCTGATACCAATTGTTAGCAGCCCAACTCGATTGACTAACCGATAACTCGAATCAAGTAGCAGGGATACAAGACCTTAGGGAGAGGGAGGTCTGGAATTAGCAAGGGATAGAGAAGCAGGGTACAGAGAGGAAGAGAGAGTTGGGGAGGAAGATGAACAGTAACTAGGGGAAGAAGGAATCTGTTTCAGATAATTTGTTCGATCCTTCGAAGCTCCTGCTCTCTTACTTATGTAGGCTCCCATCCAGCAGAGTCCGAACTGGGCTCAAGGCCCAGGCCAAAGCGACGGCCCAGCATAGCTTATCTCTAACACACCGGGGGCCTAGTACCACCAACGATAGCGACAAGCGCAAGGCCAAGTTCGTCCTCCGCAGCCTGCAACTCCGCGGAGCAAGGAACAACGACAAACTCCGTGCGACGCGGCCGCGCCGAGCGGCCCTCCGGTTCCGCAGCCCCGGGGGACCCCGCCAGAGGGGGAGGAGGCGGAGTCGGGGGAGCACAGCAGCGAGGGACTTACAGTTCTAGTGGCATCAGATTACTTAAGTGGTGCATCACTGCATCAGTTCAGTAGCTTTGTAAGGGTACAAGCTTACGCGGTGATGAGATTGGCAGTTTCCCTGAGCTCTGCAGCCACTCCAAGTTGCTCCAGAACTCTCCATCCGTTGGCATGAACACCAACTGCCACTCCATCTGCTCGTAAGGTCTCAGATTTCTCCAGCACCAGACTAGCAATCCCTTTCCTATATGCATGCCACGTTCAGAGCTACTCAAGTCATGTTACTCTATAGGGGAAAGGATAAATTAACTGTGATGTGGAGCAAGTGCACGCACCGATGAAGAGCGAGAGCAGTGGCAAGGCCGCAGATGCCGCCGCCGACGATCAGCCTGTTCGTTTGGCTGTGGCTTATCGTAAACGATCATAAATTTTCAGCCAGAACAGTATTTTTCTCTCACACAAACCAGCCAGCAGTACTTCTTCACGAACCAGCAACGAAACGAACCAGCCAACCGAACATGCTGAATGACGATGCCATGGGCTTCCTCCTCCATGTCTGCCTCCTTCCTTGTTTACTTTACTCTCCCTCAATGAGCAAGCGTGGGCAATCACTTATACGCAGCAAATACGAAGTGTTTGGACGGGTGGGACGCGCGCGTGGTTGGTTGGTTTGTTTTAGGCCCCGTTCGGTTGTTCCGGAACGGGTCATTCCGAGCTTGGAACTATTCCTCGGTAGTACAAATATGTGAAGAAAGGCTTGGGCTAGGAACCAATCCCATGTAACCGAACGGAGCCTTACCGGGTCTTGGAAACGCCAGCTGCATGTATACATGCATGGACACAGTCATACTCAGCGCTTCATTAATTTTGCACCTTGGTAGTATATGTAAAACTCTTCTCCACGCCTTGATAATGCATTATGGGCAATTGGGCATGGTCACACCTTGATAATGCATTAATGTTTGCCCCCAGACGGCGAAACCCCAGAAAATGCAGCAAGTTGTGACATTTGGCGAAACATTACAAATGACAGCGTTCGGCTGAAGAGGGCATCTGACAAGACGAGACATGACAAACATTTTCCTAGAGAATCTTGGAGCCTGATCGCTTGTTGGTTTCGGCCAGGGTTTATCAGCCAACCAATAGTGTTTTCCTCTCACAACAAATCAGCATTAGCCGGGCTTATCAGCTCAGAAACCAACCAGCGAATAGGCCGTTGGACAACCAGCATCCTTCCTTGCAATTTTCTTAACAACTTACTCTCTCAGTCTCAAAAATAAGTTTTTTTATTTTTGGATATCGTAGACCATTTGCCTTTTTCAGTTTTTATGCAAATTATAATATAAATAAATTATTATTAAAGCATCCTTAATAATAAAATAAGTCATAACAAAAATAGATAATATTTACACAAAAATTTTGAATAAGACATACGGTCAAACAAGATGTCTAAAAGTAAAAAATGTCACTTATTTTGGGACGGATAGTATCGGTGTTTCGTATAGGCACCGGCAAGTAAATTTATAGTAATGCGCGTTAGGCTCGAATGGTGCGCTAAAGGACACAAGATTTATACTGGTTCGGGCCGAAAGTCCCTACGTCCAGTTTGTTGCTGCTCGTGTTATTAGCACCGTGAACGGTTTGTAATAAGGGGTACAAACGATCGAGAGAGGGACTGGTCCCAAGTCTCAGATGGAGGGGTTGAAGGGATGTCAAGAGGTTCGAGACAACTTGACTGTGTGTATGTGTGTGTCGTATCTGCGGCGCCCGGAAGGGTCTAAAGCACCTGTCACGTCATTCCCCGGCAGTACTTTTTCTGCCAGGGTGCAGGGTATGGTCCTTGGAGCCATAGTTGACCCGAATGTCTTATCTTGCCCTGTACCCATCATTATGAGGGAATGGGTGGAGTTGTCAGGTAAGATGAAACCAGTCTTTAGATATCGAGCAGGGCGAGGCTCGTTCCTGGCCGTCGGGTGAAACGGAGACCAATCCCTATCTCTTGGGCGAGACCGACCCCGCCCCTCCGGGGTCGGGCGAGGCTGAGTCTATCCTTCAGCCCTCGGGCGAGACCGAGCCCGCCCCATAGGCGTCGGGCGAGTCGGAGACTAGCCCTTAGCCCTCGGGCGAGACCGTGCCTGCCCCAAAGGCGTCGGGCGAGACAGAGACTAGCCCTGAGCCCTCGGGCGGGGCAGAGCTACCCCAAAGGCGTCGGGCGAGGCGGAACCAAACTCCTGTCGTTCGAGCAAGGAACGCTACGGCGTCCTTATCTGTCCAGAAGTTTTTATCGTCCGGTAGTTATTGGTTCCACCTTCTGGGGTACCCCGGTATTAGGTCCCCGACAGTAGCCCCCGAGCCTCCAGGTGATTCGGATAGAACCGCCTGGAAGGTGTTTTCGGACCCTTCGCGGGTAAGGCTGAAGGACTTAATTTTTCGTCAACTGGATATTTTTCGAGGGGGTCGTGGTATCCCGTTCGCGGGGATCTCATTCAGGGCTGACCTAGCCAGGGCTTGACCGTGGATCGAGACCTCAGTAATGCTTGCGCCCTTGATTTCGGATCATTCGCGGACCCGTCCCCAGTTGGGCCGGTCGCCGAGCTTCTAGGCCCTAGGTGGGCCAAAGAGAGAAAGATCTTCACGACCTGCGTTTCCTAGATGGGTAGAGAGTCCGGATTCGCCTGGGGAAGACGAACCATCCACCGCGACTTTTGGTGGGAAAGGATAGGGACTGCGGGCGCGTGTCCCGCGCCGTGACGCGGCGGTGCACGTGGCAGGCTCGGAGATCAAGGCGGACGGTTGCCCTTCTCGTGTCCGTCGCCCCTATAAAACCACAGGGTTCGCCCCCAAGGTTCTGTATTTCGCTCCCTTGCCTTTGCGTCTTGAAACAACCGCCGCCAATCGCCCCAGCCTCCTGCGCCCGTGCCGCCACCGTCAGTCGGCTTGCATCCATGTTGCAGCCGCTATCAAGCTTGCGCCTGCCCCGTAGCCGCCATTGAGCTCGCGCCCACCTTTCTCCCTAATTGCTTTGATGGAGTTGTGGGGCAGATCTAGCATCACCCCACGGTGTTTGGAGGGCCTCGTCCGCCGTGGCCTTCTCCGCCCGCTGTCCACCGTCTAGGAGTGGCTGCTACCTGGCGACGAGGGTGAGCCGATGCCGCCCGAAGGGTATGTCGTTTCTTTCGCCATCTTCCATGAGCGGGGATTTGCGGTACCCGCGCATAGATTCCTTTAGGGGCTGCTGGATTATTATGAGGTGGAGCTGCAGCATCTAACTCCCAACGGGGTTCAACATATGGCGGCGTTTGTTTCCCTGTGCGAGGGTTTCCTAGGGATCGATCCCCATTTTGATCTGTGGCGGTATTTCTTTACCATTAGTTTGTCAAAGAGGAAGATTGGAGGGAAAGATGTGAACGCGCCAATGGGATGTGCCAGCATTCATCTGCGCCATACCCGGTCGAGGGGTTACCCATACATGCGTCTGGCGACATCCAACAAGGGATGGCACTCGCAGTGGTTTTATGTTAGGGATGATGTGAGTGCCACCCTACCGAGGTACACTGGACGCCTTATTGAAGAGGCTCCGGAGTCGTGGAGCTGGGGCGTCCAGTCCAAAGACAAGAAACACCTCTTCGACCTTCTTTCCGCCCTTCAAGCCCTGAAGGATCGGGGCGTAAAGGGGACGGGGATTATCGGCGCCTATCATGCGAGGAGGGTGGCGCCGTTGATGGCGCGTGTGCTTCCCCTGCATCGGATGATGCCCGGAATGTCGTTCGAGGGAACGGTGCTTGTTGACAAGGCACTCCCCTTTTCAGAAGTGGCACAACGCATTAAGGAGGCGACGGAGCCGACGAAGGACTCCAAAGGCAGCATCCTCGACATTGTGTATCCGGTGCCCGGATGTCGGGGACCTAATACCGGGGTACCTCAGAAGGTGGAACCAATAACCACCGAACGTGAAAAACTTCTGGACGCATAAGGGCACCGTTTCATCCCTTGCTCGAGTGACAGGAGTTCGGTTCCGCCTCGCCCGACGCCTTTGTGGGATAACTCTACCTCGCCTGAGGGCTCAGGGTTAATCTTCATCTCGCCCGACGCCTTTGGGGCGGGCTCGGTCTTGCCCGAGGGCCGAGGGATGAACTCTGTCTCGCCCGACGCCTTTA